TCGTCTATGCCAAGAAATTTGGAAGACAACTACCTGACCAACCAACTGGAAGAGATCTGTATTTATGCCTATTCTCAAGAAAGGTAATCCAACCGAATTTAGAAATTATCAAACAATATCATTAATATCACGTGCAAGTAAAATTGAAGATCACTCAAAAGCGGCTGCAGCAGTATATCGACAGGGAAGTGCCAGAAATTCAAGCAGGATTTAGAACAGGACTTGGAACCGGGAATATCATTGTTGATGTCAGATGGATCCTGGCTGAAAGCAGAGAATACCAGAAAGATGTTTGCCTATGTTTTATTGACTATGCTAAGGCATTCGACTCTGTATGGATCACAACAAATTATGGATAATATTGCAGAGAATGGGAATTTCAGAGCACTTAATTGTGCTCAGGAGAAATCTGTATATGGATCAAGAGGCAGTCGTTCGCACAGAACAAGGGGATACTGCATGGTTTAAAGTCAGGAAAGGTGAGAGTCAGGGTTGCACCCTTTCACCATACTTATTCAATCTGTATGCTGAGCAAATAATCCGAGAAGCTGGACTATACGAAGAGGAACAGGGCGTCAGGATTGCAGGAAGGCTTATTAACAACCCATGATATGTGGATGACAAAACCTTGCTTGCTGAAAGTGAAGAGGACTTGACGCACTTACTGATGAAGATCAAAGACCACAGCCTTCAGTATGGATTACACCTCAACATAAAGAAAACAAAAATCCTCATAACTGGACCAATAAGCAACATCATGATAAACAGAGAAAAGATTGAGGTTGTCAAACATTTCGTTTTACTTGGATCCATAATCAACACCCATGGAAGCAGAGGTCAAGAAATCAAAAGACACATTGCACTGGTAAAATCTGCTGCAAAAGAGCTCCTTCAAGAGTTGAAAAGCAAAGATGTCACCTTGAGGACTAAGGTGCACCTGACCTAAACCATGGTATCCTTTTTTTTTTTTAATTTTTTTATTGTACATTAGATGAAGGTTTACAGAACACATAGTTTCTCATTCAACTGTCAATACGCATATTGTTTTATCACACTGGTTAACAACCCCATGACATGTCAACAATCTCCCTTCTCAACCTTGAGGACCTTTTTTTTGGTGAAAATATACATAGCCAAA